TGCTCACCAGCTTAACCTCTGGCCGCGCTCCCAACGGCCACAGGTTTCGCCGACCCTTCGTTGGACCGGGTTCCCTGGTGACGCGTCCGCGTTCCACGTCTCGGGCTGCCTCGCTCACGTCCGTGCCTCTGGCACGGACAAGCTCACTGACCGCACTGTTCCTTGTGTCTTCCTCGGTTTCCCCCTGGACTCGTCTGACTGGCACTTTTACCACCCGCCGTCTCACCGCTTCTTTCACTCCCGTGACGCCACTTTCGACAAGTCTGTCTCATTTTACCACCGCTTTCCCCACCGAGGTCTCCCGGTTTCCCCTCCCCTGTTTCTGGTCCCCACTCCCCCGGTCGCCCCTGCTCCCCTTCCTCCCCGTCCTGCTTTGTCTGGTGTGTCTCACGTCACTCCCCTCTCGTCGGTTGTCCCGGTCAAGGAGTCGGCTGACTCTGGTGGCCCTGCGGCACTGTTCTCGCCATCTGTCTCTCCCCCGGTGTCTCCTCCTCCGCCGTCGCAGTCGCCGCCATCGCAGCAGCCGCCGTCGCTGCCGCCGCAGCAGCCGCCGCCGCTGTCGCTGCAGCAGGAGCCGTTCGTGGACTCTAGGGGTGCTGGCGTTGAGGAGGGTGCTAGTTCTGGGGTTCCTGTCGTGGCTTGTCCCGGTGGGCTCGGAGGTGGCACCGGTGCTGGAGAGGGTTCTCGTTCTGGGGGTGCTGGAGTGGAGTGGTCCGGAGGTAGTCGCGGTGCAGCTGGAGGTCCAGGTGTCGGCATTGAGCAGCAGCAGCAGCAATCGCCACCGGTGTCCGCCCTTCGCCTGCTCGGCCTTCCTTCAACCGACCGCTCACCAGCGCCTCCCCCGCCGCCTCCTCCCCTTCCTGTTCATGGCTCGGAGTTTCCTCTGCCGGACTCGTCCCCGGCCCGTTTTCCCCCTCGTTCCCCTCCTGTCACTCCTCCTCTGTCTCCTGACCAGACGCCTCCGTCTCACGTCTGGTCTCGCCGTCCCTCTCGTGCTCGTCCTGTCTCTCCTGTTCAGCGTTCTCACCCAATGTTGCTTCGTTCCCACGTGTCTCGTCCTCCCCTCCTCCCTTCGCCTCCTCTGTCGTCGCTCGCTGTCACGCCTCCCCCTCTATCTGACTACCTTCATGTTGCTCGTCCTCTTGTTCCTTGGGTCCTTGCCTCCCTCATTACCAACCCGTCTATTCCTGTCTCCTGTCTTGACGCTCTTGTCGCTGCTGTCGCTGACTTCGCCACTACCCGCCGCCTTGACTACACCACCGCTCTGGTTTCTGACCTTGTCCATCCTCCGTCCGTCAGGGGTGCTCCTGCCCTTGGCAATGACGTCATAGAGGACAGGCAGTATGAGCTTGCTTTCCTGTCCGAGGCTTCTCCCCATCTCTGGTCCATGTTGCTAGTCCCTTAAGGTGACCCAGACGCCTTTGACATCCCAACCCCTCGCACTTACGCTGAGGCGACATTGCGACCCTGGGCCTCTTAGTGGATAGCTTCCATGGAGCAGGAGATGGCATATTGGAGATCCACCGGCACCTACATCGACGCAGTTCCCCCATCCAGGGTGAACGTAGTTGACGCCCGATGGCTCTTCAATGTGAAGCGCCCCCTTGGAGAGCCGTCTGTGTTCAAGGCGCGCTACGTGGCTAGAGGCTTCAATCAGCGAGAGGGGGTGGACTTCGTTCAGATCTTCGCCCCGACCCCGAAGATGACTACTCTTCGGGCACTGCTACACGTAGCAGCACAGTGTGACTACGAGCTCCACTCCCTCAACTTCGCCACTGCTTTTCTTCAGGGCAGCCTACACGAGCAGGTCTACCTGCGCCGTCCTCAGGGCTTTACTGGTATCTTCCCTCCTGGGACCTAGTGGCTCCTCCGGCGCCCGGTCTACGGCCTGTGACAGGCGCCTGGTGAGTAGCACGACACGTTGCGTGCTACGCTAGCTGACCTGCAGTCTTTCCGTCCTCTGCAGACCCTTCGCTCTTTGTTCGTGCTGGCCAGTCTCCGTAGTGCATCCTTGTCTATGTAGATGACCTGGTCTTTGCTACTGCAGACAGAGACGCACTGGCCTCCGTGAAGGCCGAGCTGCTGAGGGGACACACCTGCACTGACCTAGGAGAGCTGCGCCGCTACCTTGGCCTGCAAATCTCCAGGGACAGAGCAACGTGTACCATCACTCTCACACAGTCACACTTGGTGCGCCAGGTCCTTCAGAGGTTCGGTCTTCAGTTCTCCTCCGCACAACCCACACCTCTGCCACAGGCTCTCGGCTCTAGTTCATGAGGAGTCAGTAGAGCCCAGTGGTCCTTACGCAGAGCTGGTGGGTTGCCTTATGTACCTGATGACTTGCACTCGTCCCGATCTCGCATACCCTCTCAGCATCCTGACTCGCTTTGTGGCCACCAGCAGACACCGACAACAGCACTGGTCGGCTGCCAAGAGGGTTTTGCGTTATCTGGCGAGTACATCTGGCATGGGGCTAGTGCTAGGAGGATGCAGACCGGTGGTCCTTACGGGGCTCACAGACGCTTCTTGGGCAGACGACGCCGAGACCCTCAGGTTCTCCTAGGGCTACTGCTTTAGCCTTGGTTCTGGGGCCATCTCGTGGAGGTCCACTCGCTCCTTGTCTGTTGCCCAGTCTAGCTGTGAGGCCGAGATCTACGCCGGTGCCATGGCGGCACAGGAGCTCTGCTGGTTGACAGTCTTGCTTACAGACTTAGGTGAGTGGCCTAGCTCTGCCCCAGTCCTGTACACTGACAACCGAGCCATGATCCTCCTGTGTTAGGAGCCTCGACTTGAGGGCAGGGCAAAGCACATCCAGCTGCGGTACTTCCTCCTGCGTGAGCCATAGCAGCGCCGCCAGGCCCAAGTCGTACACTTGGCCTCCTGTGCCAACTCAGCTGATATCTTTGCTAAGGCGCGTGCGCTTAGAGATCATCAGCGGTACTGCTTGCCGCTTGATCTAGTTCCTGTAGACTCTCACTTGCTAGGACCTTGATTGTGTACTCCTCTTTATATATATCTTCCTGACTGGCCTTGTGGCTCCTGTTCCAGTGGCAGGACTAGTAGTGCCGCCCTGGTTTGCTCCTGTCTTGTTTGTGCTCTTGCTGACTGGTCTTCGGACCCCTGCCTCAGAGGTTGGACTAATAGTGCCACCCTGAGCTGCGTGTTCCTTGCTATGCATTGCCCCTTATCTAGCCTAGGGGGTATGTCAACTTATACATATCTTTATATGTAGAAGTTATAGGCTAGATATGATTGTGTTCTTAGAGAGTACGTCTCCAACCCTAAATCTTCATTGTACTCTCTTGTTTCCATCATTCTAGTATTCTAACATTGAGGTGTGAGTAACGTGCTGTGAGGGGAGAAGGACGAAAATCTTCTAAGAGAGTTATTTCCCATCTGTTAGTCAGTTGGTGTGAGTACATGCTGAGGGGAGAAAAACGAAAATCTTCTCGGGGAGTTGTTCCTCTTAAGGAGATCCCCCCTGTAGCCCTACCAGCACTAGTAGTACACTCGGGTAGGAAAATATTATACCCTTAATCTTTAGGATTATACTCTGTATAAACCCTTCATTCCCTGGGTTCATAAAAAGCCAACCCTTAATTTGTGGGGCCAGTTGAAAAAACTACCCTTTATTTGACTCAAATTCAAGGCAACAACCCTTGAAAAATAGGCCCTGACGCTCCACACCCCTAAAATGCAACCGCCAAAGCTTGACCCCATCAAAAACGAACTTGGGCCTGCCCTGAGGTTGTGGGATAGTGAGTGCATCTCCAAATCCTAGGTAATTGTTTTCCGTCATTTTACCCCCAAATTATTCTCATCTGCCCTGGGGCATCATATTTTTATTGCGCAATTGTTGAATTCGCCCCTCTCTCATTTCGCGCGCGGATTCCATAATTTGGTCACGTGGCTTCCGAGCGAGGCTCGGAAAGTGCACCTGGTTTGGGTGGTAACAAGTGCTCGCGAACTCGCTTGAGGAGCTTCCTCAATGTAGACGCCGACGTCGACCAGGCCTCTCGATGTCCGGGTAATTACCCTGATTACTAAAGGAAAACATGGAAAGTTTCGTGTACTACCCTGATTTCTACGCATCCAGATTTGAAGTACACGTCCACTAGCAGACTAGGCAACAACATTCCACGTCCGATTTCCGAGTAGTGGAATGTATCACCCTGTAACATCCGTCTGTAAGGCCTGGTTACCCAGCTAGAAACCCCTTTTCTCCGTTGAGGTAGGGATTCTGACAAAATTGCTCCCGAAATCCCAAGTGGCCCGTTTGGGTTTTCGACAAGCGCGCCAGACCCTGATTGGATGTTGCAGCTTCCCCAACCAAGCCTCTCTAACTCAAACTCGTTACCCCCAACCAGGCCTCTCTGAACCAAACTCATTTCCCCCAACTGAGCCCCTTTCAGCCAAACTCATCCCCTAATGAAGCCTCTCTCAGCCAAACTTGTTCCCCCAACCAAGCCTCTCTCAGCCAAGCTCGTTTCCCCAAGGAGGTTTGGTTGGGGAAAATGTGTTTTCCTGGACCACGCCTCTGTGCTTCATATACGTATTTGTACCTGTGGGTAGGGCGTATTTTTTTTAGTAGACAATAAATTGGTGAAGTGCGGTTGCACTTGTAGTCAATCGTTTGGGCTTTTTTTAGCTCAATTTGGCTTATAATACCATCCGAGCACTTGTAGATGAAATTGTTGAAAGGAAAAGTTAAGTGCAATTCAAAGAAGTGAACGCGACCTTGAAACCCTGCACATGCCGGGAAACCGCCGAAACTGCCTTGCAAAAAACAGTTAAAACATTTTTTGGGTTACCCAGCTTGGACGAGTTGGTTGCGCGACTTACTCGGATTCTGCTGGGGGCCCTTCGGGGACATCGAGAGGCCTGCGTCGACGTCAAGTGCCTGCAGAACAGAGCCTGGGTTCGTTTGACAGAATCCTCCCGAAATTTCGACTTCACCTTACACGGTTTCCGAGTCTGCCAGACTTCCGTCTGCCTGCAGAACAGGGCCGCTGTGTTCCATTCCATCACCACCAGTCCGAGCAGTCTTTAGGGTTTAGTCATATGTTAGCTTTCGAATAGGCAGGCTAGTAACCGCGAAGGCCGTTTCTGCTGGAGTGATGCCATCGGCAGTGGTCTCCGGTTATCCCAACATGGCGACAACAGAAGTCGAGGCAGCGCAGCAGCGCGCTGTAGCGCTGTCCATGTTCCGCCAGTGGATCATCAACGCACTTATGTCCAAGTCTAGAGTGAGTTACCCCACTGAAATACTGTACGGAAGCTGATATCCGGCAGTTCGATTATTACCAAGTGCTCCAGTTTCCTTGCTGTGTTCTCCGTTACTTTTCCTCGTCGCCAGTCGTCAATCCTGCATCCTCGCTAGCAGGTCGCTCAACCAGACGTCTCGCAGCCGCATGGCATGGTGCCGACTTGCTACGTGTCAGACATGTATGCGCGGCCCTTTCGTATCGTAAGAACACGAGGCTGAGTGTACCTTACCGCACGCCGCCTTCTTTTTCCTTGCACCAATCTTCCATGACACCTGGCAGGGCGACGGCGCCGCGTATTGGCGGCTTCTTCAAGAAATCGACCAGATTCGCGCCGATCCAGTGCGTTTCCCCTCTCCCTACTCCGCTGCCACGCCTCGTGTCAGTGGATGGGTAGCAATCAGTGTCGTCTGTTGCCTCGGCTCGCATCAGGCCGGCCATGAGGCTACACTTATCCAATGCGAATGAATCAATCCCGGCTTTTACTTCATCACACCATGAAGCATCGCATACGCAATATTTGTCGCTCTCTTGACTGCTGTGTTGGCCACGGGCAGGCAAAGCTGAGGGTGTTCTCGCAGTGCGTGTCCTACTTCGACCCCGACGTGCACGAGGCGCTGCTCATCCAGGTGCGCTGCTCATCCAGCTGCGCTGCTCATCCAGGTGCGCTGCTCATCCAGGTGCGCTGCTCATCCAGCTGTGCTGCTCATCATAAGAAATGACTGTCGGTATTGGGCATTTCTTCGCATGTGTGTATCTCTAAGTTCTCACTATCTGCTGTCCGCTCTCCCTGTGGCTGATCTGTTGCTGTTCTACCATCAGTTGCTGGGTGTCAGTCTTTGGACGTGCAACTCAGACGTGGCGGGGGCCATCATTGACTTTTGTGCTAACCTGGTGAGGCACCATCGCCCTTTCTCCCCTACATCGTTGTGGAAGCAGTTTCACGTCCTTGACATCACGTTAAGTCATAGTAGGCCAAGTTATATAGACCAGTGCATGCATGGGCGCTAAACCCCAAGGTTTACGAAATAAGCTTTGCAGTTGGCTCATGGCGTTGAGGATTGCGTGACGGTGCGGTGTGCATCATTGGTTGGTGGCATGCTGCAGTGAGAGCCAGTGAGTGGCCAGGGAGTGGCCAGGGATGCGAGAAGATCCTCTGCAGCCTACATTCAAGTCGAAGCTGCAGTGCAACAAAAGATGGCCATTGAACGGAACCCTGCCACCGTTGAACGGGTTCCAGTGCATGCTGCACTGCCCTCAGCGCCTCAGTGGTAGTATTTGCAGGCGGTCGTGTGGCTCTGTCCGCACCGCATTGCCATGCTCCCTTCGCTGCTCAACTGCGATTGCAGTTGGTTAAGGCGAGCCACTGATTGTTGGCACAATGGTTGCAGCTCCGTGAACGCATTTGCTCCTCCCAATGCAGTGCAAACATGTCCAGCTTGAAGCCTGTTCAATTCCTTCACCTTGTTTCGGGCTGATCTGAAGTTGCCACTCTTATTTCCAACTGTGTTTTCCGAGGCATTATTTTCCAGGGGCTAGGTTCAACGTTGTCACTTTAAAGAATCGCTTCCTTGACTATTGCTCTGTGGGTGTTAATGCCTCGCTTCCGCCCCCATGCAGGCGTCGGCCAACAGCGCGTGTCTGCCGTTCGCGCTGGACATCCTCGTGCGCAACCTCATGCCGCCCTCCTCCGGCGTGCCCGCCTTCATGGGCGTGCAGCCCGCCAAGCCGCCTGCTGCTCCCGCCCAACCAGGCGGGCTGGCGGGGGGCGCGGGCGCGGTGGCGGCGATTTTGGCAGCGAAGGCGCGCAAGGGGGAGGAGCTGCGGCGGCAGGGCGAGGTGGTGCAGTGGGTGGTGGGCGCCGTGGCGCGCATCTCCCGCCTCGTGCCCACTGCCTCCTCACGCCTGCTGCCCCTCGTGCTGCAGCGCCTGCCGCACAAGCGCGTGGAGAAGGAGGTCAGTAAGACAAAGAGCACGAGTTAAGCGTCAAGTTCTGTTGGTTCAATAACTAATAGCCGCTGCATAACGCTCACTTTTTTTTCTCACTCAAGGCAAGGCACCTGTTGCTAAAAGTCAACAGCTGCACCCTCTGCGGGCACGGAAGTCAAGCAATGACAGCTGAGTGTCTAGGGTCCAAATTGTGCGGCCTCCTTTTTACCTCCTTCCGTTTCCACCTATGTGCTTCACCCGGTGCACTTCCTTCCTCCCTTGGGCTTTTTGCCCACTTCTGTTCTGACTGTCTTCATTCCCGTCCATTTCCTTTCTCTTCCCTATCACCCCTCTCCCCCTGGCCCTGCATGCCCCACTCTTGTGATTGCCTGGCTGGCTGTGCCTTGCGTGCACCACCAGTTCCAGTGCGTGTACGTGGCGGGCATGTTCGCGCTGGCAGAGGCGGAGGAGGGCGAGACGGTGCGAGACGGCTTCCTGGCGGCCGTGGTGGACCACCTCATTCAGATGGATGTGAGCACCTCATTCAGATGGATGTGAGAACCTCAGATGGATGTGAGCACCTCATTCAGATGGATGTGAGCACCTCAGATGGATGTGAGCACGACGAGTGGTGACATGGATTGTCACCAGCATCATCATCGCAATGGATGCTGCATCATTTTGTGCGAGTGACACACCAGCATCCTAAACCCGTGCCACATGTGACTCGCTCCCCCATTGTTCACGTTTCTCCACACTCAAGGTGGAAATTCGGTGGGAGGACATTGCAGCGGACCCAGCTGTGGTTGGATCAACAGATGCACCGAGTTCAACCGACGCCGCAGCAGCGGGGGCAGCCTCAGCAGCAGCGGCGGGGGCAGCAGCTGCGCGGGGTGCGAGTCGGGTGTACATGTTCCACATGGACCTCGACGACGCCGCTGCTGCCGCCCACCACGCCGCCCTCTCTGCTGCCGCTGACGGCGCTGCTCCAGAGGCTGGCGTGCCAGGTAGCGAGGTGGGTGCCGCTGCGTCATGGTGTTCTTCCGCCCTCGCACGCTGCAGCAGCAACTGCATCAATGGTTCTCGCTAGCGTCCCCTTCACGCTCCGTTGTGTGTCTCTCTGCCACCACAGGCCCGCCATGGCCTGCTGCCATGCCCTGCTGCTGGAGCTGCTGCTGCTGGCGGCAGTGAGAGGGGCGGTGGTGGCAGCAGCGTTGGCGGTGGCACGGTGGCGGGCGCGGGCGCGGGTGTGGACGAGATGGCGGCGAAGATGGACGCGCTGATGGACCTCACCTTCCAGCACATCCTCACCCGCTCCAACGCCAACCAGCTGCCCCAGGTGCGACTCCCCCAAGCACTTGCTGGCGCCTGGCATCCCGAGCACTGGGCCCCATGGTCCATGGCAGCGCGCCGGCACCACACTCATTCCCATGTTGGTGCTCATTCCCATGTTGGTGCTCATTCCCATCCACATGCTCATTCCCATGTTGGTGCTCATTCCCATCCACATGCTCATTCCCATGTTGGTGCTCATGGGCCTCAAGCCGTTTGATCCTGCTCTGCTTTAAGGGTCTCTCCCCTAATGTGGCACGCACCTGTTGGACTCGTGTGCAGGTCTACGAAGCTTTGATTCGTTCGTTTGACTCAACAATACTTGACACATACAAGTCCAAATTTACCCAGGTATGTTCAGGCTTCCGCTGGTATTATTAGGCCTGGGTCATTTGTGTTGTAATCGGGTGTCTCTAGCCTCTCCCCCCTTCCTTTCTCTCCTCTGTGCTCTCTGATCTTTCTTCAACCCCTACTGGTCACCCTTTGCACCATCCACCGCATAGTGTAACCATGACCTGGCATCCCATCACACTCATGCGTTAACCACACACCATACCTGAAGAAAATCTTCTCTCCGTCTCTTTGTGCCGTGTCGCCATTTGCCCCCCCCCTCCCCGGCAGTTCCTGCTCTTCTTCACCTGCTCCCTCAGCCCTGCAACCCTGGCTGTTGCCTTCGCCTCTCATCTCACCGACATCCTCACATCGCCCTCTCGCTCCATCAACTCAAGGTGCACCTCACGCCTTGCCATTCAGGATGCCAGATTGCGTGGATCTGTGCACTAACAAGTTTAAGACCTGCCAATCTTTGAATTTCACATTGTGTACAGCAGGTATTCACATGTATCCTTCAAGCATATAACGGCACCAGTTTCTTGCCTTTTTGTCAGGCTATTGGTGGTATTGCTTGCACTTCTTCTTCCTGTCTAATACCTTTCAACTGATTTCCTCCCCTCGCCGTGCTCCCAGGATGTCTGCTGCAGCATACCTCGCCAGTTTCCTCGCGCGCGCCTCCTTCATTCCACTCATGCACATCTTGTCCGCCCTCACTCGGTACGCCTCTCACCCGCACTCTCTCTTCCACAGCACACAGTGCATCTCATCCCTCCATGCTGCTCGTCTCATGCTGCTCCTCTCATGCTGCTCGTCTCATGCTGCTCCTCTCATGCTGCTCTCTTCCATTGTCTCAAGCATTTATCATTTGTGAATCCCACAGTGGTGCATGCTAGTTGAGCGTCATACTGCCATCCGTGGATGCCTTACCAGCATGCGCCTATGCCCTATTGCATCCGGACATTTAGGCGTGCGGTGTGAGCACGGCACGGTGCATGTTGCATCCGATTTCCACCCTGAGCGTTGTGCCCGGGCTGCTGCCTCTGGCTGCTGTATGCGGTGCCCTTCCCTTGGCTCCCTGCCTGTCCGCCAGCGTGGTCGAGTGGTGCCTGGCGCACTCGCACACCCGCCACCGAGATGCGCCCCCTGGCAGCAGTGGCGCCAGCTGCAGCAGCAAGGGGGGTGCGGGCAGCAGCAGCAGAGGGCGAGAGGGGAGCCAGAGCAGGGCTGAGAGGGCCGCCCCGTCGCCTAGAGCAAGCAGGGGTGGGGGTGGCACAGGCAACCCCGAGTCTCCCCACTCACACACCTTGGCGCCCTCGCTGCAGGACCAGATCTTCTATGCCGCATGCCAGGTGTGTGTTGGCTCTCCCTGCACTTACATATTTTCTCGCAGCTTCTGCTCAAGAGGCTTGGTCCCTTCACCCGCCTGCATGTGCCCCCCACCAGGCGGTGCTGTGTGTGCTGTGTTGCCGCATGCAGC